ACTCCTTCCTACATCTGCTGTGCCTCTTATTTTCCTTTTACAATATTTTCTAAAAAACCTGTTTTTCCTTGTTTTTTTGTTTTTTTTTAAACTGACGCTTCACTCTAAGGCCAACCATGTTAACATATCCCAAGACTGGGTTAATATGCCGACTCAGTCCAGGCTTGAATACAGTCCAATTGGTTCCTTGGTTTAGTTGACGAAACATTGTTGGCTATGGCCTTAAACTCAGCACACCGATCAAAGATTTTAACGCTTTTAACGCTATTAACGCATTTCTATTTTGTAGTACGGTTTACTTTGCTCAAGATTCTGCAGATTTCCAGTCGCTTTGAGCTGCAAAAACTTGTCCCAATTGGTTCAGATTTTTTTTGCTATTATCCATTATGAAAACTTTTAAAATAACTATTTCCAGCCTTCCTGAATTAACACTTCATTTAATCTTAATATAAGAGTGCAGTGGTGAGACTGAACATTCAAACCAAGGACAAATTATTTCAGATTTGACATTGCTGTGCTTCTAAATCCTGCATTTTTCCATTCAAGAGAGATGCTAATGGCTAGGAATTGTAATAAAAGCACCGTTGTTGTGCTCCATTCTTGCCATTTTTGCCTTTAAGTTTCACTCTCTATTGGTCTCAACACAGATAAAAAGATATCGTCTTGATTTGAAGCATTTATTACCTGTGCATTTCTATACTGACTCAAACTTCATTCTGGACCATCTTTGGCATAAGTGCTGTTCTTTTTCCAGGTGAGACATATTTAATTCTGGACAGGATGGAATTTCTGTTTCTGAACAGCCACATACTAGCCAGGTTGGATTAAGTTAAAAAATCAAGTTTCTCTATATATCTTTGGTTAAAAGGTTTCATTTTCACCATGCATGTACATGCCAGCTCTACTGTGCTAACTGTTTATGTTTAGTTTACTTCAACTTAGATTTAATCAGATTGAAAATGAATGGACTAAAAGATTAATCTAATCTGAATTTAACTAACAAATATTGAATTTGGAAAAAAATTGCTAATAGGTAATGTTATCTTACATAAACTAAGGTGTTCTCAAGACAAAATCAAAGTCATTTAAACAACCCACTAACGAACAATTTTACCTTTTCTTTCTTATCTTTTTAAGGATCAGGTGGTTGTGTAGTTTAAAGGGCGAGCAGGGAATAATGGACAGGCTCCTTCAAGCCTATTCTCTAACCTAAGTCCCACTATTTGACACGGTGTCTGGTTTAAAATTCCCAGCATCTTTACCAACAGAAGCATAAACCCAGTATTTGAATTAATTTCATGTTCTGCTATCTGACCGTTGGTCACAAACATTTCCTCTTTGTCTCAACCTATGGGAGCAAAAGGCTAGAAGTTAAGTTGCTAAAATTCATTCATTCATTCTTGCATGAGGTACTATATTGTTGCACTCTAACCTCTCTCTGCAAAGGCGCGTCTCGCCCTGGAGGCGGCCTGCTTTGTCTGGCTGTCTTATTTAGGCTGGTTTTTGACAGGACAGCTTGGCCCCTTGTCTTCCCTCTTTGAATCTCGGTCTGTCTTTATTTTTAATCCATTCCCTCCTGGCATGCTGCCGCTCAGTGTCTATTGAAGCTGAATTGAATGCAAGTGTCGGTGAGCCCGGTGGCTTTTTTTTTTGTTATCAAGATGCGTTATAGAGCATGAAGGGAGTTTGAGTACTCAGGCTTAAAAGAGTGTTTGCAAACCCGTTTGTTGACTCTGTAGTGTTTGTTGTTGAAGAAAGCAAATTGATAACTAGTGTATAAATGTGTAAGATTTGTACTCTGCATTTAGTTTAAGGAAACAATGCTTTAAATTGATAATGGCACAACGCAGAAGGCATCATCAGACATTGTAGTGCACACTTACACAACTATAGGATACTCACAGGGGACAATGGGACCAGTGGTGTGGTTTACACAAACCGACAGGAGTGTGTAGACTTCACTGAAGCCTATGTGACTCCCAGGAACTGTGAAACGAACTGTGCTGGACTGTGTTCCTGTTGTTGAGTCATGGCGCTCCAGCTGACCAGATCGCTGACGTCCATCTCCTTAAAGATGCTGCAAGCATGTTTTGAGTTTTGTAAACACAAAAACACCAATTGTTTCTCTCTTTTTGCTTTACAAAGAAACACTTCTTTATGTTTGATCAGTTTAATGTTTTTATAACTGCTCTGATATGTGTCTGTTCAAATGTAACTAAGACTATTGTGTTTGCTTAAACTGTTAGGATAAGGTTGCATTCTGTTCAGCGCTTGGATGTATGTATAGATCCATTCATAACCTTTGTGAGTGTCTATATGTGTTCCTATATATGCTGCTGTATTTGTATACCACAGGCTATGGGAGAATTTATGTCTCCTTTCAGCTCTGCGCCGTTGTGTTGTGGTCTGGCTGCCATGAGCCAATGAGAGCTCTCCTGTCTCAACGGCTCAATGGCTCTATTATTCATAAACTGAGTGCCAACAGTCTTGACGGAGTTGTGTGTGTGCATGCTTGTGTAAGTTGCCTTTGCCTGTTTTGGGATTCATATTTACTTTTAATTCCTAACACCAGCTTTTGAGGGTAGTGCCACTAAAAAATTGTGTTATCAACTTAGCGTTAATATGACTATTACTATTGCTAGACACAGTCTATCAATAGTTTAACCTTTCTTAATTCACCTTAACTTGAAAAGAAGATAGTCATTCTTTTTAGCTTTAGACTTTAGTATTGTTGTTGATTCTATTGGTGTCTCTTAGTCTTCCCTTAAGATTATTCACCTTGTATAGAACACAGCTGCCCGTCTTCCATCCGACACCTCTACTTTACATCATTGCTGTCTTATCCACTTCACACTCTTTGTGTGTCAAATGTAGAATTCAATTCAAAAATTTCTTGTTTGTTTTTAAAGCTCCTGAATCCTTGCCCCACCTCATTCCCAACGTGTATGTCTTTCCTTACATCCCAGACCCCTAAGTTAATAAAATAGCTTCCTTCTATTTAAGAACCTTAAAAGAAGGAATGCAATGGAATCTACCCCAGCAATAACATTAACACAATAAACATGTAACATTACATTTGCAAAATGAAAAAATAAAATAAAAACCTTGTCTTACTAAGACAGTAGACTCTAAAGATATTACATTCAGCCTATGATTATGGTAAAAAATAAAAATTCTAATAAAAGATGTAAGTTAGGGGTAGAATGGTTTCTTGGAGTGAAAAATGTTTTTAGTGGTAGGTCATTACTGGTACAAACTGTTTGTATGAAAGGAATGCATAGCAAATTGCACAAGTATTACAATATTGTTAAGAGATATGAATGCATTAGGTAATTATTAGTGCAGGATTAAATTTACTTGATTTTTCATTGGTGTTTCAGTTTTCCTTCTTTAACTCTGGACCCAAGTCTTTGCATGCTTCAGAAGTTTACTTTTGTAACTCTCATACTGAATGTTAGAGAGTCTAACAAATGAAAGGCAACAACAAGGGGAAACTGTGAGAAGGATGGTGTCTGTTTGTTATAAGGTTCAATATAAGGAAGGAGACTGTTTCCAGTGAAAGGCTTTATTGTTCTAACGACCCAACAGCAAAGTCCAAAGTACTGAAAGAAATGTGTATGCATCTAGTGGGTACTCTACAACAGTTATTCCCAACCGGTGGTACGCGTACCCCTAGTGGTCCCGAGTGCATTGCAAGGGCTACGTTAAAATAAATGTATTTCTTACGCAGTAGAATATAATAGCACTGGGACCTGTTTTGCTTTGTGAGAACTCAAATATAAAAATTAAGCCAGCTTCTATCAACCAAAAAGTTATTTCTTCTTGGAGTTTACCTTCAGCTTTTACACACAACAAAACCAAGCAGGGGAACAGACTGGATCTAAAGAACAGTCTTGGATCAGTTCTGTTTCACACTGAGCTATCGGAGTTCATCAAAGCAGATCAGGTGCCTTGATGTGAAAAATTATAAGGTTTATTAAGTCAGTCTGACTTTGATTTTTGTTCTGTGTTTTGTTTCCAATTAATCAAGTTTATATTGTATTTATAAGGGAGTTATTCAGAGGAACTTCAGTTTTTTTTTAAATCCAGGTTTAGTGTATAATTTTATCTTGTATTTATTTAGATTCCTTACTAACTTCCGGCAACATATTTATGTTGTTTTTTTATTTGATTTTGAGATGGAAAGCTTAAAATGATACGAATTAAATGTTCAAATAAAGAGACTAAGAAAAATTGTTTTTATTGCATGTTGCATATCCCGGAAAATATAAACCTTTAAATCTGTATCTCTCCCTTCTTCTCTCTGTGCTGTTTAACATTTATAGTGCTTTCCACTTTTGGACAATCATGGATACTTTTCACTGAGAGGGGTCCTCGAGGTGCGAAAAAATCACTTGTTTCACTTGTTAAGTATTTTTGATTCTGAATTCCTCAAACTCACTCTAAATGCTATTTCTCATGTTTCAATGTGTAATTCAGAATCAATAACACAGTTTCACTTCAACTTACAGTGTTATATTACTTTGAAAAACTTGATACTCCTGCAGATGTTTTGTAAGGTGGATGAACGTTGGTGGATGATACTTACCGGAGCAATGGTATGATTTGATACCTGGTATGATTTGATTCTCTATAAGTGGAGAAAGAAATGTGGGAGAGGGCAGTGACCCCGACATGGAGAGGTTGTGCTCAACTTTGCATTCTTTGCTGCATATCTGTGTCCCACACATGCTAACTCAATCTCTTTTGTCAGTGTGAGTGTGTTTGTGTAGAGTATGTGTGTCATTTGGACTCTGTTCCTCTGTTTCTTACTGCAATGTGAAAGGATTATAGTGTATTGCCATAATAGAGGTTGGCATTGACACACCCTGGCATGAGCATCAATCAGATTCAGACTAAATATACCTCAGCGTTTGTGTATCTGTGTGTGTGTACACAAGGGCATCCTTGGCAAAAGCAGTTTCTGAACCGTGTTTCTTTCTCCCCGTCTCTATTTTTAGGTCCCTGTGCCCAGCCGGAATGTTTTTGTCCTGTCTTGGATGTGAGAGGTGATCTGAGTTGTCCTTCATAAGAGCACCAGTGGATATATCAGGAAAAGAAGGAAGAGGTTTGGAAGCTGCAAACAAGAAGCAAAACTGGTTCTTTTCGAACTCAGAACTACACAGTTTTTTTTTTTTTTTTTTAGTAAAAAAGAACTGGATGAAAACCAGATAAATAAATCGTCCTTCAGTGCAAATATTGAGCACTCAAACCACTAAAACCAAATTTAAAGAGGTTGGTTTAAAGGGTTTGAAAATGATGACCATGATGATGATGATGGTGGTCACCTGCAGTTCTCTGTTGCTCCTCGGGATGGCTGCTGCATACTCTTCCTCCAGCTCTGTGACCCGTGCTTCATCTTCCTCGTCCTCATCCCCCTCTTCCTCCTCCACCTCACCACGCATGAAACTTTCATACAAAGGTAAGGACCAACTTTCTATAAAAGTCGGTTTGCTTTAGCACTACACAATTTTATAAACTATTAGCGAACAGCCAGATACCACAAACGCACACAAACACAGACAGCTTAAAGACACAGTGGTGCAGTTGTGTATCCATTTCAAGCTTTTTAATGTTAGAGGAGGCAACTCTGTGCCCAGCACAGCCACATAAAACCAAGGATTTGTGCCATCACTGAAAGATGATAATTACAGCCTGAAGAGTCACTCCAAGGACCAGAGGCTCCTTGCAAGCTGCCTATCCCACTGAAATATGTGCCCGCTTTAATTTTAGCTCAGAGTGACATGTACGTTAGGCAGTGAAATGATTAGGTCTATTTTTATTTTGGATTCATTATCAACATAATAATTGTTCTCTTTTCATGCAAAAAAAAGGTTTAACAAAAAAAAAAATTGCACAAGTAAGGATTATTAGAAATGGTTTAATTTCACCTAAACAATACATCTAAATAATTTTACAAAAGCGCTCCAATGCTTTGATTCATTTACAGATTAGCAGTTTTCAACTAAATATGATATTGGGTAAAAATATATAGGGTAAAAAAATACAAAAAAAATAAAACAAAGATATTATATCATGCACACAAATAAAAACTTAAAAAATAAGTAATAAGTAAAGTTGAAGATTATAACGGGCAATAAATAGATAAGGTAACTATAACTGAGGCGAATGAAGAAAGAACCTAATTAAAAGAGATTCATACATTTATGTCTCACTGTATAATTTAATTTCTACCTATATTTATTTGTTTATTATAAGTTTGGGGGCAATTAATTGTATGCTTATTTTTATTTATTAAGCATTTATTTATTTCTGTATTTATTTTCAAATATGGCAGAGTTGGTCCTCCATACAAGTTGGGCTTGATTTATATCAGAAAGACATCAAACTAACTAACTGCCTCTCATGTTAAAAATATAAATCTTTATGTCTAATACTTATTCTTTTGTTTTTGAGCACTTCCAGCATGCCTTTTTTTATTTATTTTTTTAACTAATAATACTAAACTAAAATAATCATGTCCTTTATTTTAGTAAAGAAAAGAATTCAAAAGGATAGAGTTCAATTACCAGACTGAGTAACTTACAGTAGCAGCAATTCAAAATGGCCCTTCGCAGTCAATCGCCAGCTGAATGGCAGCTCACTTTCCTGCAACTCCCAGCCACTGGAGTTGCCCCGTCCTTCTCCTGGGGGTGCATATTCTCTTTACTTTGAATCCACCCTTTCACTGAATTACAAGGTCTGACCAGGAGTTGACACTTTTCTTAAGATCTTAATGTCCACAAATCATGACAGAAAGAATATTTTAGTACAAAAATTGATGTTTAAAAAGGAATTGTAGGGGACCCCTCAAGGACCAGCCAAGGGCCCATCAAGGAAAGTGGGGAAATTTTGAATGGATTCTACTGTACATTGTACATGGCCTGTACTTATATAGCAATATAGTCTAAGGAGCTTTGGTCAAGTCAGGTCATTCACTTCTTCACACACACACTCACATACTGATGAGGGCAACCCACAGCTGCCCTAAGGCTTACTGACAGAAGTGAGGCTGCCGTACACAGGCACCACCAGGCCCTCTGACCATCATCAATAGGCAATGCTGACCCAAGGACACAACAACATTGAAAGCCTGAGCAGGGGCTTGAACCGGTTAAAGGGGAAACTCCTGCATCCGACACCACATACAATCATGCATACTTAATTCAACTTAATCTGTTTCTCTTTTTTCTTCAGTATTAAGCTTGCTGAAATGGGAGCTAAGTCCAAATCTCACTCTACTAAGAATAAAAATGACAGATAGTATGACTGTCAAAATCCTTGAATCCTTATAGGATGCTTTACACAAGCAACAGCCATATTGGATTCGGATCAAGGTTGGCGACAGACCTCTGAGTTTCCAAAACAAAATTCTGGCCTCAAGAAAAGTTTTGATTATTTCAGTTAACTTGGATATCATGGAAGAAAACAATTCTTTCTCTGTCCTTAAGTGACATAGTGAGACCATCAAGTAATTTACTTAAATCCTTAAACTGAAAATAAAACAATTTCCCAATACAATCCTTAATTGTTACTTGTGAGGTAGTTTTAAAAGTACTCTTATAAATACTTCAAAGAACCTCTTGTTATCCCAGAATTTATTTATTGAGGTTGGTGTTACGTACTGCATGTCACTTTTAAAGTGTAGCTAAAACCAGACAGCTGCATTTATTAGGTTGTCTACACTATTTCTTACCATTTATTTGATTTAAGTCTGTCATTTTCAATTCAATACGTCTTTATTAGACACAAGGTTATTTTAACCATAAGATGGTGAAAAATGGGTTATAAAGTCCCTGATGTCATGCAGGCTGCTTTTACATGGCGTCAGAGCTAGAACAATAACAAGCTAATAAAGCCTTTTACATGTGTAAATTAATAAGACTTTGGTCTTGTTTTGTTGAACTCCTCATTTAAGCTAGGACAACGGGGGAGGATATTTTTATAGCTTCTCTGGCCAACAGCATGTCTTTTTTCCACTGGCATGGGTTGAGTTTTGCAAAGCTAGATTTTTCTGGGCTCTGCTCAGCTATTTTGTTTTGTTTTTGCCAGTTTTGTAACGGCAGGGGCACTTATGTTTTCCATTAAGATTATTACTCTTGAAGGATATTGTCAGACCCCTTAAGATGTCACTTGCTTTAGAGGGCAGCCTTGTTATAAACTTTATAAAATAATAATAAATATAAAATTCTGATCACCCAACCTATAAATTAGAGAATTTGCTAATAAGAATGTACAGTAGTGCTAGTTTGATACTACTAGGCTAATTGTAAACCAACATTTGCCTTCAAAAGTTAGAAATATTATGAACAATGGAAATAAACTAAATCAAACTAGTGAAGCAAAACTTATAAAGATCTTGGAAAAAAATAAGTGCTGACTAACAGGGTCTGATAGGGCATTGGATATATTACATCATTCAATCTCCAGTGCTTTGTTAGACTGTTTTTTAAAAGACACTCCTTTGAGGGAGAAAGCCAAAGGTTAATCCAATTATAGGCCTTCACATTACAGAGAGCATCGTAAGAAATTTAAGACATTTATTTTTCCATTTTGTTTCACGTTCAGCAGTTGTGTAAATGAGAATGCACTGGAATCCCCATTCAGTTTATTGTAAATATGTAAAATTGGTGTTGCTTAATTTTGATAATTGTATGAATAATTACTCAGTCAGTCTCATTACAATTTAATAGGAAATTTGGCAATAGTTTTTTACCTTCCTATAAAATATTCAGCAAAATGCAGCTAAAAATAAACTTAGTTTATATATAGTTTTGTTGTATAAATATACACCAAGTGTACACCAAGAGCAATTCGAAGAATCAAAGTATGATCTATTAAATAATACACATTCCTATAAAAATATGGTGATTTTATATTGAATGCTATGGGACTAAATCCGTCCTCTAAATATAAAAACAATTGGTCAAATATTAAATTGTTAAACTTGTAGTCATTAGACTGAATTAAATGTGTGCTAAAATGCACTAAATTTCATCAGTAAGTTGCGCATTAATCAGCGGTTGAGCCCGCTTTCAGACGTGATCCCCCTTTGCTCGCATAGAGACTGACTGGCAGCGTTCTGTCAGTCTCTATGCAGAATCCCTAGTCGAAGCCCTAAGACTCTGTGCATTGAAGCAACCAGAAAAGAAGTAGGGCCCTGATTGGATAGTACACAAAAACCTTATAGAGTTTATGAACTGAACTCTTGCATGGTTTCTGGAATTTATTATTTCAGACTGCTTCAAAACAGCTAATTTCATCAATGTGTTTAATCTTTTTGAACATTTTTTTTATGCAATCGGTAGGTTTAAATGTATTTTATATCACTGAGCCTCCCCTGTTTCAGAGACCAGCAGTTATGCACTTACTAATTATAGATTTATAGATTCTTGTTAGGCTAACTAACAACAAATATAAGAACTAACAGACTGATCACAACTAAAAAATTTATATTTGAATGTTTCTGATTCTTATGATTAAACTGACTCTAATGAGTGTTTAGTATTCATTAGGCTGTAATGAATTCTTGCATAAAAAGATTTCCACTTAATTTTATTAATACCTGATCTAAGAGAGAGGGAATAATCAAAATTTTTACAGCAGGACTTAAAAAGACTTTCTCCCCCCTTAAAGTGACTGGATCAGTAGTCTCTTGGTCTACAACAGCTCAGTTTATCAGTAGTATTAGCCAGGTTTCTTTCAAGGACAGAAAAGAGAAAACAGATTTCTACTTCAACAGTTTTGAATGATTAGATGCAACAATTTGTAGACCTGAGCCATGTGGCCAAGCATCAGTATCAGAGCAGTAAATAAGCAGTGGTTACTTGTTACAGTGCTTTCACACCAAAATGACAAGATAAGATTGAACTCAACAGCTTTCTCTATATATTTTAACCTTTGAATGGATTTGGAAAGCCATCAACATTTTAAAGCAAAGAGCTTTTAGTTGTTACATGGATACTTTGAAGTGCACGATACACTCCTATGGCTTTAGGAGCCTGTGTTGTTGCCTGATCAACTTGTGACGACATTTTACCCCTATTTTACCTTCTCTCCACTGTCTGCCTGTACATGTTATGATTAAAAATCCTTTTATTTGTTCTTTACCCATGCCCCTCCTGCTGTGTGATTTCTGTTTTGCCATCCTCTTACCGCCTGTTTGACTTGTCTGAGCTGCTGCTCTACCCTCATGCACCCTCCTGTCCTCTCAGGTCAGTGGGTAAAGTGTACCTCAGTGTTTGATGTAAAACGTATGCTACTTTCGTCTTGTATGATTTTTTTAAATTATGTTAAATAAACAAAGCTCGGGTGGATTGAATGTTTTAGAAAAAACATTTAAGGAATAGATATACACTATTTTATTTTAGCATCAATAATATGATTTTCTAGGTGATAACCTATTTTAACACTTTAAGAATATATTCTGGATAAGTTATGGTATGGTTATTTGTATTTCTTCTATAGCTGTAGCCTTAACAATTCAAACTATTATCAGATGTTTCTCTTAGGAGTATTAACATGAATATGTCAACAAAAGAATAGCTTTTGGATAGTTTAAAACTTGATTTCTGTTGTTAATGATTCCTTTATAGAGTTGCAACAGTACCACGGGGTGCGACGATTTGAACTGGAGCGTTCCTGCTGTTTCAGCGCCATGCTGCTGGATGAAGAGAGGGGCCGGCTTTTTGTGGGGGCCAAGAATTTTTTGCTGTCACTCTCATTGGACAATATTGCCAAACAAGAGCACAAGGTAAATCTGATTAATTGTCACATATGTTTGAATGCTGTATGTCTTCCCATTGATAATATTTTAATCCTCCCCTCGCCATAGGTTGTAGTAGATTGTAGATTTAATCCTTTCATATTAGTTGTTTTAATGTTAAATCAGACAAAAAGGAAAAAAAAAACATTTTTTTTTTTTTTTTTTTTTTTTTTTTGTCATACATAATAAATATTGTAAAACTTATTTGATTTTAACAAATAAGTGCTCTATTGCTGCTGGTCATGTTCATCAGGAACCAGAATATTATATATAATTCTGGCAATAATTAAAAGGAAGGAAGGTGAATTTATTTCTAATATTCATTATATTGTTTGCTTTCTAGGAATACGTTACTGTCTCCTTTTCAAAAGCAGAGTGCACAGAGATAAGAGGAATTGAAGGAAGTGTTATCAAACGTATTTCATGACCAGCCACTGAGCACATACAAAGAGGTAGAATAATGTGCAATTAACACAATTTAAAAACCTTTGAATAAACAAAAAGAGATTGTTACAGAAACATCAGACATAACATCACATTACAGCCATAATCTACTCTTTAAGTTATATTTCCAGCGTCCTAAAAATACTCTCTGAAGAACAGGTGTACCTTAACAATATGAATGTACAGTATCACCAACAAAGCTATAGTTATGTGTGCTATTCAAGCAAAGTACAGTCTAGTGGGAACATGTGTCCACAGCTGTTTGGATGAAATTACATGTTTGCCGTGTCGGATTTGAACACTTTGTTGGTCTTTGGCATATGGGTGAGTTTGATTTATGCCCTCAGATTGCAGGTTCACCATAGCTGATGTCGTTTACTCTCTGTGGTCACATTTGCAGGGGAGGAAGGTATCAGAGGAGTAGATGAAATGGGAAATAACAGACCTAGACAGAGGGAAGAGACAGGAAGTGAGCTGAGGAAAAGTATGGGCAGTCAAAATGAAGACCTTTCATCATAACATATGTTTTTAAAAAGGTGTACAGAACCTCACTCAGAAGGCCTGAATGTGCATTTAAAAAGATTTTAAAGAGCTGATTTTTTTTTGACCTTTTCTCTGATCTTTCAGATTTACTGGCCTGCTCCTGTTGACTGGAGAGAGGAGTGTAACTGGGCCGGCAAGGACATTACTGTAAGTCCTGTTTTCTTTATCTTTCTTCCAAGTCTCTGGGTTATAAGGTAGAAAAAAAAACACAAAAACACACAAATGTTTCTCTGAAAAATAAAAGAATTGAAAAAGGTGAACCATTAGAAATCAATTAATTTGGTTAAAAAATTATTGCAGCCAAAAAAACAACAAAAAAAAAAAGACAACTTCTTAACTTCCTGTTCATGAACTTTTACTATCAGGTCACCTTTCAGTCTATATCAGACACTGTACAAGAAGAGAGGAGAAATAAGAGGCCTGTGGAGATGTCCACTCCTACCCGGCACAACACAATACTACCTTTTAATCCACTGGAGTCATGGGAATCATCACAAGACAGAATAACTGCACGGAAACTGATAACATGTAATAATAGGTGTAGCACTCCTACTTTAAGATCTACCATGTGCTGAGATCACTTCCTCAAAATCAAGTTATTTTAAACCCAATGTGACTGAGATTTACGCTCTCATGGAAAGTCAGAAACATTTGCTGTTTTATTTTTCTTAAAACTGCCTAGAACCAAAAGGTTCATAGAAGATATCAAAACAATTTTGTTACTGAGCTACAGTATTACCATAAAATTTGTTAGGTTGCTGCTGCACTGTGTCTGATTTTAGAAGGCATAATGCAGTTTTTAATTAAAAAAACATCCACTATTCTGTAAACACCATAATCTATAATACTAACTGACACTGCAGAAGGAGGTGAATTAATATACGCATCCTTAAGCTCCATCTTAGTAGATATTGCAGATGCAGATTTGATTTGCTATTTTTTCCTAGCTTCACAGTTAAGGTTTTAAAATAGAGATTTTTTTGTTTTGGTCTATTGTCATAGAGAGTCATACATACAAGTACTCTTGTCAAATCTAGTTTTATTTAGGATTACCAAGGTCCCCAAGACCACCCAGGATTAAACCACATGCAAAGCTATACATCTTTCTTAAGTTTTAAAGTTCTTTGCATAATCCTGTGCATTTTTCTTTTTTTATATATCTGAGTTTTACATTTGAATGTTCAATCAAAATGTGGAGGCTTGCCAAAAATCTGCTTGCATATATTTAATTGATTTCTCCCTGTGTTATATAGCTTTTTTTTTTTTTTTTTTTTACATGTATTCCCATATGTTATATGAAGTGTGCAGAATGGGTGTGTGTTGTGTGTGTGTGGGTGTGTTTGTAAAGCAAACCCATCATCAGTGTGATTACACAGCTGTAGTAGACAGACAACGAGCTCCATTCATGCTAAACTCAGGCTCCAGTTTCAAATGACCAGAAGATGGACTATGTGTGTTCAGGTTTCAGTGTGTTTGTGTGTCTGAAAGAGAAAGTAATGGAGGGGGCGATGAATGGTGAAAAGAATGTTTAATAGTTTCTGAAATAGATGAAAAAAGATTTCATTTTCAAAATGAGGAAATGTAAAAGAGTTAGAATATAAGAGCTTTTCTTGCATTGTCTGTTTTTTTCCCATTATTTTCAAGCTTTGTATTTTTATTTAACTTTTCCTTCTCGTATCACCCGCACAAGAACAGCACTGAAAATTTTTTAAAATCAAAATAAAGAGACTTTTTCACCCTCAATCTATACAGAGTTAACAAACAGACGTATATCAAAACCCATTCAAATGTA